GAATCGGTTCTAAATCTAAGCAAATGTTTATTCAACAGCAGGAGGATGATCTTCTACTTGAGTGTGATTTTCCTGAGTTTGCATCACATGAGGTTAGTTAGTAAGTCTAAAAACTGTCAGTGAATTTTGGATCTTCTACCATGGAAATTGACCCTATGGTAATTAATAATTGTCCATTTCTGCTAATATAAATAACAAATTGGCAACATGCTTGATTCTAAAAACTATTACTATCTTTTGTGAAACACCCAATTGCGATCACCCATTATTTTTAGGCAAATCTTTTAAGACAACAGTCCTTCTAAAATTTGGATTTGTTAGAGGAGGAGGTTATATATTTCCTGCAAAGTTGGGTTTGAGACAGCATTTGGGGTTGTAAGACAGAAATTCAGGGGACTTTTTGACAAGCTGTGCAGCTTCATTCAGGGAAACACTTAAATATTCAAGAGTTGGCAAAGGGCTTTTCTATGATGATGAAGAAAAAACAGAACAACTAAAGTATTTTTTTTAAAACTCCACAGGTATTGGGGGTGTGTGCCACAAATGCCATGGACGTACATTCTCAAAATGATACTTTTGACTCTGACACTCAAGTGCAGGTCAGTACTCAGATAAGCCCAAAAACCTACAGTGGGTCTTTCTTTTCTTACCCCCCTCAACCATCAGACCTTAATCAGCTTACATTACAGTCAAAGTGCCAGTCTCATCAGAAACTCAGTTCTGACTTACTGGAAATGCCTAGAGTCTCCTTGCGCAGGTCATCCAGGAAAGAAATTGCTTTCGAAAAACCTGAGGGAGCCCTTGTTAATAAAACTGTTTTCCTCACAAAAAAGAAAATCATTCCTCAGCACCAGCCTGCCTTTCACTCGGAAGTGGAAATTTCAAATATTTTTGTACCTGAAAAAAAAGTGAAACGATCTGCTTTTCATAAAAGAAAGATAACTGCTTCTGAAATGAGATTAAAGACAACTCATCATGGAGCTAAATCTTCAGAAGAGTATTCACACAAGGTAAATTCTAATATATATTTAATACAGTTATTTAGAATATGGATGCCCTTACAGGCTTTGTTTATATGAGGGTTGAATGAAAAGTTATAAATATAACTTTATTTTAAATGGGGTTATTTTAATAAATGAAACAGGAAAATAATCCTTGAAAGAACTCTGTTGTTATCTGAATTTACTTCTCCATGTAACCATCACCATTCGCTGTACACTTTTGCCAGGTTTGGACTGTATGGTGGATAGGATAAGACAGCGAGATCCAACTTCACAATTGCCTTTTGGGTGGCTTGTGTGGTGTGGGGCCTAGTGTTGTTATGATGCAGCAAAATTTCCTCCTTGTGCTTCCAAACTCTGCTTAATTAGTTTCAGTGTTGCAGTGTAGCACTCTGAATTGATAGTGATGCCAGGTTCAAGGAAATCCTTGTGAATAACACCTCCTGCGTCCCCAAAAACTGCAATCATGAGTTTTCCTGTTAAAACCTAGGTTTTGACAGCTGGGGTTGCAGGTAAAATTCTGTGATGTTCCATGGACTGACATTTCATTTATTGGTCATAATGTAAAGCCTTTTCACATTATGACCAATGTGAAAAGGCTTCACATTGTTTTTCTGGATGTCATGATGCTGTGAAGAAATTTCTCATTTTCATCACATGACAACAATTGCTGGCAAATTTCAAATTTCTTGAAGTTCTCATCTCTGTCAGTGTGTGAGAAACCCATCTTGCACAAAACTTCCAATATTGAAAAATATCAATAATGTGAAATGCCAAGCTTGATGGCAGTCCCTTTAATGATCCACCAACTGGCCTTAACCTCAACCTTTCTCTTGTGAAAGGTCATTCAATGATTCTTGGTCACACATAGCAGCTCTTTCTGACTCATCATATTTACATTTTTTGGCCCAGCAATGCATAATGCTCACGTCAACGCAACAAAAGTTTGTTACATAATTTTAATTCTCTTCAAAGTCTGTGCCACATACTTTTGACTTCCTACCTTCTTGTGAATTTGCAGGATACATATCCCAGATCATTTAGGACACCCTTAAGTTCTGTTGACTGGCCTCAGCTCTTCATGCTCCAAAATCAGGTACTATTGTCTGTATTTAAGAATGAAAAAAATTAGAGTTCAGTTCTAAATAGGTATGTATATGATTACATTTGGTTCAATCTCTGAGTTTAACCTACTTTGCAGGTTTGTTGTAATGGTAGAATGGTGGGAAGGTGCATGCCATTCTTGTTCTTTGGTAAAGTAAAATATGCAATGTTTTTAACGTTTAATTTTTTGGTGAAGTCCATAGACTTCATACTCTCTCTGTGTGTATATGTGTATGTGTGTAAATCCATTTCTTTTCTGTAGGAACTTTGAATTATAGGGCTATTTCCCATTTTTCTTGCCTAGTGACAAGGGGCTTGCTACTATCATTGTTACAATTTTAAAAATGATTTTAAATGATATGTTATTAAAACAGAAATCACAAAAAGGAATGAATTTGGGAACATCTCCTGCATTATCATGTTTTAAATGGTATTCAGTGGGGAAAGACTGTCTTTGTCTTGTTTTGTGGACCCTTCATTTGGATAAAGTTTCCTTGTTTAGTTTTAAGATTGTATTATAAAAATGAAAAGACAAAAATGCTAAATTTGATTTGCTTTATAAAACATATGTACATTTATTTCAAATTTTGAGGATGGTATTTTATTTTATAGGATGGATTTTGGCAACTTACATCAGCGCTTGGTATTCTTTTAAATCTTGATGTGCATCATTTAATCCATGTCTCACTTGCAAAAAAAGGAATTCAGTCACTTGGTAAGGGCATTTTCCAGTCATTTATACTATATGCTTGTACTTTCCAATCTATCCAGGAAAAATAGACTGCAGTCCTATTCAGATTCTCTGAGAAGACAGGATTACCTGATAGATTTGGTATCAATCAATACTTTTTCCTAGTACGAAAAATTAGCTATGGCCCACTGTTTTTAATGGACACTAACTTGCTCTGGATAGAAACCATCATACTTAAATGAAATAATTTTCACACAAATGGAAAGTTATCTGGCTATAAATGCCAAGTAACAGTAATGTTAGGAAATGAACTTGGTTGTAAAAAACCCCTCTATTTTTATGATAAATCCTTAATTTAAAAAAAGTCTCAATTCCAGGCTAGATTAATGATTGTCAGTGATATTCTGTTATATCTCTGCAGAGGTATAGGGTAATAACTGCATGTCAGTACACTAAGAATTGTAAAAGTTATCAGAACACGAAAAAAAGGTATTGCCATTCTTTTGATTTATATAGACTCTTGCAGGTCCAGCATTAAATTGTACTTACATCTCATGTCTTCTAAAATGATGATCAACAGACAATTCTTTTTTTATAATTTGAACTTCTGGCTTATAGAGATATTTTTACCTCATCTGAAATAATCTCAATAAGAAGCAGGACATGCTTGATTTTGTCTGGCCATAGGGTTAGCGCTTCAGTGGCACACCACTAGGAAACAGCTGGGTGTAGGCCACTGGAAAGCTGAAAGCACGTTCTAGGAGACCATGACAGACCACTTCCTTATTGTTGCATGGATGTCCATGTAATTATCCAGAATCAAGCCTGACTTAAGGGCATGTTTTCCTTTTTTCATCTACACAGAGTGAGGGATGTATATAATCAAAACCTTTGGATATTCAAGATTCAGATAATTGTGCCATCGGGCTATTTTATACCATGTTCTCAAGCGATCAAGAATTAGTTGTTTAAAATGAAACATACAGAACTCCGTTTTCATTTCTATTCTTCTAGGTCCAAAAGGAAAAGAGAAGTTGTTGCAGTTGATTGCCACCCTTTTGGTGCTCCAGGCTATATATTTCAAACAACTGGAAGGCCTTATCTTCAAATCTCTAATGAAATTGAAAGACTCTCCCCCATCATGGTATACTTGGGAACAAAACCAAATAATATTCAGGCTGTCTTAAAAAGATATGACTTTTAATCAGTCTTACCATTAATCTGTAGTTCCTGTAAGAAAAATAGTTATACATTCAAAAGCAATATAAATATGACACCCAGACTAAATTCATACTCCCCTTAAAATTAAAAACTGGGACATTTTAAGAAATCCCTCCCTTGGCCCCAAGTTCTCTGCCCCACTTTATTATTAATATTTAATTAATTTAAAAAATAGAAAGCTGGCAGGGTACATATCAAAGGCCCAATCCGCAGTGGCATTTTTTTGTCTGAGAAAATCTCACAACTCCATTGATGCCCAGTGGGCATTTTAAGAAAATCAACCATTGGTTGCTGCAGCCTAGAGCTTTGCTTGGAAGTATGTTTACCTACCAAGAAAAAGACAATGATCAGCTGGGGTAATAGATGCTATTCATGTGGGCCCAAAGAGGTAGCATGAAACAACTGTATCAGTTACCTTTCTGGTAAAAGCATGCTATGTGACTGATTATGCCCACTATGGCAGCTATTCTGTGAACAGATACTCCTGCCCACCCACCACCCCCAACAGCCAAATAACAGTTCTTAAAATCCAAGTGTGCCTATTAGCCCGCAAAGCTTAGCTACCCCTGAAGTGGGTGAGAAAGTGATTTTTCAGATAAACTTGTCCTAAGTCATTCAGGCCTTTGAAGGTTGAAAGCATTTAAATTGGACTCAGAATATTCTGGGAGTATCCACTATTGGACATTTCCACACTTTGATTGAAATGCGAGTCCTATTTGGAGACATACCAAGTGTCAGAATAATTTTTAATACAGTCCATGTATCATGCTTTTCATTCTTACAAATTGGAGTAACTGTAAGTATAGTCTGTTTTGCTGTTGCTATTTCGAAATGAATGTGCTTGTCTATTTTTCTTTCTTTCACCACTATTTACAGGGCACTTAACCCAGTAAGGAAAGCAACTGAATGGGCAAATAGAACTAGCCGGGAATTTCCAGGTATTTGCCAGTGTCTTGAGCTTGGAAAAGACTGGGATGATGCCACTAAGAAGCTCCTGGGTATTTAAGTAATGGAGACAACATACTTCACCCTTCTCCTAGTACTTGAACACTAGTAGTCTGACTAGCAGTAAAAGTGCACTATCATTGATTTCCTTATTTAAAATAATAATTAGGTTGGTTATTCAACTGAGTACTTTTATTCTCTTTATGTATTTCATTATGTAGCTTTGATACTCCAGGTTGTAATCAAGAATATATGTGTATATATAATATACTATCCAACAATACTATTTTTCTTCACCCCCTCACCCTCTAAATACAATTATTTTCTTCAGTTTTCAGAAATAGTGCTTGCTTTGTTAAAACAAAATTTGAAAAGTTTGGTTTCTATTAATAAAAATCAAGTCTGTTAGCGTCTCTAGTGATTAACTCTATTGAAAAAGAAATGAGTGAAGACTTGCCCATTCCTATGTTCAATTGCATTCAGAGGAAAACTGATGCATAGAAAGGCAACAAAGTATAAATGAGAAAAATATATTTTCAGTCAGAGAAAAGAAACTGCAATTAGTATGAAGTTCAATAAAGGAAACTTAAACTAAATTTTGGCAGCCTAAATTTTAGAAAAGTGTTTATTTGGTAAATTTATCTAGCCACCCATCTCACACATGCATCTCACACACTGAGCAACATACGAAGTTAAAAAACACAAAAACAGTACAGCAAAATAACCAAAAACATAATCATTAAAAAAAAATACGGTTTTTTAAAAATGTTTTTAATCTGCAACAGAGCATATCAGTTTCCCTAGCAATAGAGCCACTTGGCTGGCTCCATACCCATGTTACAGGATCCCCAGCCCAAATGGCAAAGCCCTGTCTTCAGGGCCTTCCAGAAGGCCAACAAAGTCGGGCCAATCTGACCTGATGGGAATGATACTCCGAAGGGCGGGCGCTGTGGCAGAAAATGATCTCCTCCTGAGTCCGGATGACACTCCTTTGTGGACGGGATCTGCAGCGTGCCCTTCCTGATGGGACGGGTAGATTGACTGGGGAGAGACAAGCCCTCAAATAACCCGGGCCCATGCCGTGTGAACTGGAAACAAGAGAAAGTAATAGCCATGTGTTATTTTAGAGCAGGGTTAGCCAATCTTCCTGGCCAGAAAACTTCCAGCTCGCCGGCTTCCTGCAGCTGATTCCTGCTTTTTGAGAAAGCGCTTCTCCTCCTCGCTCAGATGCAATCAAACGCTGGACTCCGGCGTGGGAAACTCGCTTAAGCTCCGGCGGGAAAAAGTGCACCCCAAAGCCCACAGATACCGAAAATTCAAGGGATGCCGTTCTTGCGCGTTATAGCAGATCTCAAAAAGCCCAAGCACGCTCGGTGCTCGGATAGGAGATCGTAGAGTATAAGCCAGACCGGGAATTAAAAAAACAACAACAGCTGTCTCCAATCGCTTCCGTACCGCCGCCAAAACAACGCACGTGCACGCCGAGCAGAACTCCAAAGAGTGTTCCCTTGAGCTCTCCCGCCCCACCTCCTTTCCCGTCGCGTTCTCTGATTGGCTGGTTCCCGTCCTATGTACGATCGGACTTTCCGACCACTGCCCTGATTGGCGATCGTTCTGCTTACATCACGGGGATCGCGGGAAGATGATTTGTGGCGAAGGCCAGCGCCGCTCTCTCAGCAACCTATGAAGGTCTTCGGCTGCCTTCACCCGCGGGGAGGGTGAGCGAGCGAGCGAATGTCGCAGCCGCTTTTCTCGGTTGTCGTTGAAGATTCGCCCCCAACATGGCGGCGGCCGTGAGCGGGGCTGAGGAGGAGGAGGAGGCGATGGCGGCGAAATCGCCGGCGGAAGGCCAGGCGGGAGCAGGCGGAATGGAGCCGGGGACGGCGACCATGGCAGCCGTAGCGTGTGGAGGCGGCGGCGGCGGCGAGAGTGAGGAGGAGGAGGAGAACAACGTCTACGAGGTGGAGAAGATCTTGGACATGAAAACGG